ATCAGATCATAACCATAATATCATTAGCATAAAAATAATACATTGATATTATACAACGTCAAAAGAGTATATTCTTATATTTATATTTTTAGATTTGTGGTATCAACTTGTTTTTAGCATATGATCACCTTTCATTTGACTAGTAAATCACAGCCCTCCAACTATCCTTCATGAAATCAGATTCAATGGGCTCAAATCAGTTTGTATATACGCGAAGTATGGAATTTATTGAAGCCTTAATACACTTTGTTCATTTTTTACAACCTATCAGTTTGCCTCCAACACATCTGTAACCAGCATGCTCAAGATGGGTGACTTGGCCAAGACGAAGAGCTACCGCGCCGTCTGCTGGTGCCCTCAAGGCGGACTTACTACTGACCTCGTGCGTCGTCTTATAGGGCAGCTTAGGCCGTCTCGTATCGTTAATCAATCCGCTCAGCCCACAACAAAAGGTGAACTTAAATCCAAGGCAACGGAGAGTCATGACTTAATATGCAACACTTCCCTCAACAATGATGGAATCGCGATTGATCTCGGAATGACCAAATACGACGATTCAGACAGTTGTGAGATGGGCGACTTTGTCTCCAAACCCGACGACCGGGGTGGTGAAGCCAGTATGGATCCTGATTCTGATAGGAAGACACTTAAAACCGACGTTTCATGTTCTACTGGTAACGATGCTACTGACGGACCTACTTGGCCACCCGCCTGCCCTGATGTCGGTCTTGATGTGGGAACTTTCGTTGTGCATCAGTTGACTCCGATTCGCGTACTGCACCGGCGCACCCTGACTAGTCGCCGTCGCGTAATTTATTCCCTCCGGCTGCTGGAATTTGAGGCTGTGATGAGTCAGGCTAACACTCGACCTGAGGTGAATTATCTTTTAGTGGAGCATAGTATATGATTTTGGAAAGGTATTATAAATGTGCGTTATTTAAACCCCATCAAAGCCTTCATCTCGAAGGCTTGCCCTCCGGATGCAATACTGTTTAGGATGCTTTTTTAGTTTTTACTTCCGTTATGTATTTTCTTAGTCCTTTGAGAGATTTACTTTGAAATATTCACACGGAATAAATCTTAGACTGCATGGAAACCGTTGACTTAGTAGTCAAATGATCTCAGTCGATTTTCATGCGAATTAAAAAAAAAAAAGCAAGACCAGCTGAATTTAGACTATCTTCGAAGGTGAGCCAGAGTCATGCTCACTGAGGGAATATTCTATCCTCGAGCCGGTTGATCGTAAAATATCGCACAATAGATATTGCACAATGTACCATAATCAAATGCCGGAGCTCTCCAATAAGTTATTTGTGGAATTTATTTAATCCAATTTTCATAACTTGGCTATGGCTTCAGAGAGACTTCGAAGAATGTACCTAATCCGGTGTCATCTGCTATAGAAGTCATTATAATTTCCAGCATCAAACATGTGGCATTATCCCAAATGAACTTAGCTATATATTTAATACTGCTCTTTATTTTTCACATTTTCCCATCCAAATCATTTTTGCCATACCTCATTTTGTCCCCTTTTCACATACGGTTGCGACGGTTCTAGCTGAAGGATCTGGGCGTCTGGAGAAATGTTTATTCCTCCTCCGAGCTATTCATAATCGAACTGAATTGTGAGGCGGGCACCTATGTAAAGGAGCTGGCACATGGTGATCTCGGCAGGACACAACCAAATCTGACCAGTCTACTGGGTCGAAAGGTTGATTTGCTGGCTTTGGATGTCATTGCGATCCATTTTGATTGGCCACCCAGCCTCGCCAATCCTTTGGTTGATCCATTATGATTATTCCGGTCCGGTAGCTGATTTTGACGTTTACTTGCTTCCAAGCAGTGCTTAACTGGAAGAATGCTAATAATGATGAAGGTTTAAATTAAAAATTAGGGCTCACATGAGAACATGTCAGATAACAGACTATTATGTGAACATGCTCTTCTGCAGGTATAAAGATATACAATAAGATAGGCGCACAGACAGATAGCCCGACATATTTCCTGCATGCATTTTCCGTGTCACTGGTTTAGCAGTGAAGACTATGATTAGTCGGCAATCCTGCTATCTAAGCTATCGTCGGCTAGCTTTGAACAAGAGGAAATCCTTTAGACATGTACAATGATTAACGTTTTTGGTGACGCATGTTCTTGTTAACATAAACTACTACTTATTCTCTATATCCGTAACTTTGCATTTTTACATTCACAATTTCAAAGTTTTCTGTGCATTTGCCCATTGCCTACTTTCTATTTAATCATCCTTCTAAAAATTCTTCCAAGCTCTCAACGAGCCCTTTTTTTCCTGCATACTTGATCATTAAAGCTTTGATTGTTGTTATAAATGGAGATTATTTTCCCTTTCTCGATTCTCCATTTTTGGGCTTATGTGACAAACAAGAGTTTTATTTTTTCATCTTTCAAATTACACACCTGCCATAGTTTTTTTGGGCTAGTAAAATTTTGAGCTTGCATTTTTGTCTAGTATACTAACAGTTTTGCGACTTTCGACACGTATTTTCAATTTTAGCGAAAACCTATAGGCATTATTATATCTATCTGATGGCTGAGCTTATTTTTTACTTTAGTCCTTTTTAAGACTACCAGTAATTCCTGAACTCTACTTGGCATTTCTCTTAAATACCATCTCCCAGTTTGAACCACCGTTTTTATCTCGCCTAGATTTTATCACATCTCTCAACGGGGTTAAATATCAGGCCTTGAGTATTGTTGCGACGTTAAAATTTCACTACATTACAACGAGTATCAGTCAGAGAATATAGTTGACTTTCAAAACAAGCTAGGTTCCACCTAAATCAAATTTATAATGGAATTGTCGATCAGGAATAAATGTATTTTCGATTGCAACCGGCGATGTTTCTTAGCTATGGCGTATTTTTGGAGCCTATTAATAATTTTTGAATACGAACATAATCTCTAAATCAGTTTAAGTCATATAAAGTGGATAAGATCGAATTCTGGATTTATTGATAGCCTCAATGACTATTTACATCTCAAATAAGTGTCTTGGTCGATTTCAAAGGCCAATACAATCTACTTAATCTCACTATAAATATGATTTTGGTGAGGCCTGGCCTAACTTGAATATCACATATGTTCTGTGACTTGCACCCATGGCTGATTAATGGAATTGCAACGTCGCCATATAGCTCGGTATCGAATCCCGTTGGTGGAGCTGATAAAATCTAAGCGAGGTCGAAATTACAGTCAATCGTGGAAGCGATAGGCTCATGTGATTCTAGTCTAGGTAAATTTCATTATATCTTGGGGCCTACTTATGTCATTGGGGAGCACTCAACTATCAATTCTTAGTATTGGCTTGACCTTGTTTTTGTAACTTGGCCGGAGTCTTATGGACACTTTGTGGAACGTATTTAGTCCCGTGTCCTCTGCCATAGTATTCGTGATTTCCAGCATTGAATCATTGGTTCTTACATTCCCAAACGTTTTCTGGCATCATCACTGACAGGTGCTATCGTAAGCACAGAAATACAACTTATGAAAGTGACAAGACAAGGCCAGCCCCATGACCACTTTTCCGTTCAACCGTTGTGTAATCATTCCTCGCCCCTATATTTGTTCTATTTTCTAGTGCCGCATCTCTTTCTCACAGCCCCCACTTATTCACAATTATGTGCTCCCGTTTCCTTCAGTGTTGCTTAAGAGTGTCTCGCTAGAAATGGGTTTAGTGAAGTGCAATCATTCTACCTACATTCTGCCCCTCTTTTTTCACACCCGCTTGTCAACTGGACGCTGCTAAACATCGAAATCACTGTTAAGCTATCGGAAATCTTACTCTATAAGAGCCTTCAATTCTCATCCTCGATTACGCCATATTCACTTTGATAAGTTGTAACTGCTTACGATGGCGCTTCACTGACGATTGCGACTACAATGACGGCGAAACGTTTGGGAATGTACCAAGTTAATGGTCCAATGCTGGAAATCACGAATACTATGAAAGAGGACACCGGAC